GCATGTATCGCTTCGGTCATACAGTCATGAAGTCCGTCCTCCTCCTCCTCCTTATCCTCCTCCTCCTCCTCCTCCTCACACAATGTGCTTATTTCAATCCGATAGTTTCCAGTGGTTTCAAATGGTGCTCCCACTGCAATATTGGCCTCATGTTCGGATCGGCGCTTTGCTTCAGTCTGTCAGAAAGGCGCTCTCGCCGCAGCGGCTCCGAGGTCTTTTTCATAGTTGTCGCCCCCCCTCGTTTCCCCTCCTCGCCTTCCCTTGGTCTTCCTGCTCCTCGCGCTCCTTCTACTTCAGTTTTCTGCTGCTGTTGTTCGTCCTCGTCCTCCTCCTGCCTCGTCCTTCTCATGTTTCTCCTGCGCATCCTCCTGCTTACCCGCCACGGTCTCCACCTCCGCTAATGTACGCAGCTCCCCTTCTGCGATTGCGCAAGGCTCGATGGGGTGTTTGGGGAGTTCTTGGTCGGCTATGACACGCGTCCGCGGATAGACAAGACATCAGCGCAATGAGAGGGGATGGGAGGGAGGGTCAGGATGCCAGTCATGGCGAGAGTGCACATGGCTTGTCCTCCTCCTCCTCTTCCCTCTCATTCCCCTTTCTCAGCGTTCCTTCTCACTTCACCCCTCGCTTTCGCCTCGCTCGAACTATAACTGCTGAGGCCTGCTGAGGGGATCACTGCTGAGGCATGCTGAGGCCTGCTGAGGCCTGCGGAGTAAAGGGAACGACGGAGGATGCGAGCAGGAAGCAGGGGATGGGGGGAGTGCACAGTGGAACGGTGGAAGAGTGGGAGGGAGAGGCGAGGGTGAAAAGAGACAAAATGAGCAGCCCCCGCGTGAGGAGCGACGGATCAGAGGGAGCCCAGCCCTCCAGAGGAGCCACCTCCGTGCGCCCCGTACGCGGGTGCTCGCCTCGCGCGAAGCGGCTGCGCCGGTTCCTTGGCCATCTTAGTTGGCCATCACGAGGACCAGGCTTGCGGGCTGGGCAAGGCTCCGCCAGCCCGCTCGGCGGCAACTGCGCATAGCACACTGCGCACACTGGACACAGTGCAGCAGAGCGTCGCCTTGCTCCGCAGGCGTGCCACGGGGCGCGAGGATCGCGCCCCACAGGACGTGCGAGGCTGCGTGCTGCCGCAGACGTCGCCAGCTCGGGGGCGCCCCGCGCCCACACTCTGAGGCCATTCCAGCCTTCCAGCTCCGAAAGCCGTGCGAGCACTGAACGCGCCGCCAGCGGCCATCAGCCACCTCGTGCAGCTCGTGCTGGAGAAAGCACGGTCTGACAGCTGACGGGGGAGCCGCACGCGTGGGCAGGTGGGCCCACTCCTGCCTTGGCAGCTGACCGACTTGCCAGTACCCGCCCCAGGTTCAGCCACAGCGCGCCTCAGCGCACGCATCCTCAAAGCGCGCACCTCGTCTTGGGCGCGCCTGGGCCACAGGCTGAGTGCAGCCTTGGCCGCATCGTCGGCCCACGAGTGGAGGACGACTCGCCACTCACCCTCGCGCTGAGGGGCGGCTGGGATGTCCTGGTGGGACCTGATCTTGACACCCGCGCTGTGCGCGAGGTCGACGCGCCTTACTCGGCGCCAGTGCCCAGCGTCTGCCCACGCTGGACTAGAGGTGCACATGCACTGGCGCACTTTGGCAGCCAGCACTGTCGCGTTGTCGCCTACGTACGCAGGCGACCCGTCTGCGTATTCAGCTCTAAGAAGGCCTGGAGCTCGGCCGCATGAGGGGTAGGAGGGAGCTGCGAGGTGAGAGATCCTAGGAGCTTGCGAACGATCCCGTCCCTCCCCGTTGCACCACCGCCCACCCCGCCCTCCGAACTTCCTCGAGGCGGCTGGTGGTGGCCGAGCCATCCCCGGCCAGCGGCTGGTCAGGGTGAAACGCGAAGCGATTTAGATCAACAGGCAGGTCATCCTCGAAAGCTCGCACGATCATCTTCGCAGGCGCGCACGGGAGGCCAACATCGGACCTGACAGACAGAAAACGCGCCACAGGACAGAAGGGCCCCACATCTTCCTCGCCCTCGCGACGACGCTGCAGGAGGGTGGGAGGAGGTGGCGACACTTTTGCTGGGCCCTCCGCGAAGGCCACGCACACTCCGAGGCGGTGCGCCAGGTCGTCGGCTACCCCGCAGTGCCGGCAGACAGCCGCGTTCTCGTCGTAGCCCCACTCGACCATATTGGCACCCGTGAGGTAGGTGCCGCCCACGACGGAGGTGATGGCCCACTTCTCGAGCTGGGTGAGGTGCTTGGAGTCAACAGTGTTGACCACCACCTCCCACCAGACGTAGGGAAGGTCCTGATCGCTCAGTACCTCACGGCGCCTGACGCTGTCAGTGGACTTCTCCCACACACGGTCGACGACGTCCTTCAGGTAGAAGAACTCCGTGCGCTTCGGGGCGTGCTCGAGGGCCGAGATGCGGCCGAAACGCGGCGAGACGAAGGTGGTGGCGTTCTCGACCTGCCAGCCCGCGATCTAGTGGCCTTCAGCGCTGCGCCGATGGGCCCCGCCTCCGCTTTGCCATCCAGGTTGTCCTGCAGGGCCTGCTCGAAGACGCGCCTGAGCGTGGTGATGGGCGGCACCTTGCCGTGGCGGTGGCGCTGATCGGTAGCCCTCCACCACTCCTCCAAGTACCTGCCCAGCGGCATGAAGGCTGCCTTGCCCATCGGGTCCAGCTCGGGATAGATCGCGCCGAAGACGTCGGGCGACATGTGGCCGTGCCCGTAGACCTGCTCGGTGATGCGCCTGAGCCCCTCGAACTCCTGGAGCGTGAAGCCGCTGACCTCGCCTCCCCACTTCTTCATGGGCAGGATCGCCGAGTGGAGGATGCGCCTGGTCTTGCTGAAGGCCGTCATGGCACGAACGCCCATCGCCATCCTAAGCTTCTCCGCTTTCCACCTTGCCCCTCGCACAGGCCCTGGGTGGATGCTGCGTCTGACTGCTCCGTGTCGTCGCTTGCCTGCACGAAAGTCGGCTCCAAGGTGACGGGCCCTTGGAGCAGGCCTGCCTGGCCGACGACGGCGGTGCCCACTTTTGCGCGCAACCTGCTGCGACGTGCCCTCGGCCCTTGGGAGGCCCAGCCCTGCACGTCTGCGCTTGCCCTGGAGCGTGAGCTCGTCGCTGTTGCCCAGGGTGGGGGCCCTTCGCGTCGGCCACCTGCATCTCGAGCTCGTCGTGCAGGACGCTCTTGAGCTCGCGCGCGGCCCCCACCATGATGTCCACGCACGTGAGCACGCATTCGGCTACCACCTCCTGGCTGAAGTCGTCTACGTGAACGGCGATGCCCACCTCTGGGTGTGCTTCAGCTTGTGCCTCCAGCTGGTCCAGCATGTAGGCCTGGTGTGCATAGGCTGCCGAGAAGCATCCTGCCACGATGCTGTTCTCGGGGTACAGGGCGTCGCCTGCCAGGCCGTCCAGCATGAGGGTGCGGTGCCACCTGAAAGCCCCGATGATCACCCTGAGGATGTGCAGCGGGAAGCGCGCCTGACAATCAAGGCGGCACAGGATGGTGTGGGAGACCTTCTCGAAAGCCTTGGTCAAGTCCCACAGCAAGATGAGGAAGGCCATTTTCTCCCCCGTAGCGTCCTCGGCCCTCACCGCCGCTCGCCAAAAGTAACCCCGCTCGTTCAAATTGTGCTGCCAGACACGGAGCTGCCCTTTGTGGCACCTGCCCCACACCTGGTACAGGCTCTTGAACTGCCCGATGGGTCTGCGGCCTCCAGCTGGCTTGATGTACTGGGCGGTCAGCATATCCTTCTCGTCGGTCGGGAAGACTCCGGCCTCCGTGATGAGGTTGAGTAGCTGGGTGAGCGGTTCCACGTCACTGAGCCAGCCTAAGTTGCGTGGGTGGATCCCGCCAGGCTGGCAGGTCTTGGCCTTGAAGGACCTGCTGGCCTTGCTGACCTGCTCCGCGGTGAGGAGGTGCTCGCGGTGCCGGTGCCCATTGGCCTCGATGGCGGCCGTGATGGCCGCGTGCAGGGAGGGGAAGATCTCGTCGGGCTTGTCGGGCGGCCTGACGTTCCACACCTTGGCCCACCCCACTCCTTCGGGTGCTTGGTGGGGAGGGCCACTGGGCAGGCACAGCGATCCTGGATGCGCTCGCTCGACCTTGCCGTCCACGATCTCGGCCGCACCTTCGCCAGGGTCCTTGGTCCGCTGGTGTAGCATGGGCGCTCTCCGTAGGTGATCTTCGGCCAGTACTTCCCGCCAGCTCTGCACCTGTCTGCCATGCCGCATGCCGCTGAGGATGCACTTCCCCACGTGCTCGGCGAGCCTGGCCACGAGCTCGATCTCGCCGAAGATGGTCGCGACGGTCTTGAGATGGCTGGCCTGGTCCAGCGGCGCCGCAGCCGCAGGAAGCTGAGGGCGCGCTTTTCCTGTGCCATTCACCTGGTGCGACAGCGCTGGGACTGCAGCCTCCCCTGTGGGCGCGGGGCCCCTAGGCTCAGCCACATTCCCAGCACCAGAAATGGGGCTGCTGTCGCCGAGGTCCTCGAACTCGTGCTCGAGAAAGTCTTGCTCTGCGAGGAGGAGGAGGAGAAAGAGGAGGAGGAGGCGGAGAAGGAGGAGGCACACACACACACACAGAACGCTTCTTGAACGAATCCAGCGCTTCCTGAGCAAGTGCGAAGGGCATTCTGCATGTGGAGCAGGAGGAGGTGGAGGAGCTTCACCAGGCGGCGAGGCAGCAGGAGGAGCCCAAGGAGCAGCAGGGATCCGAAGGAGGAGCCGGGAGCAGACGCGGCAGGGGGAGGGTTGACCAGGAGGAGGAGGAGCAGCACCAGCATCGAAGCAGGAGCCACGCGGACCAGGGCGCGTGCACCGCGCGGACCAGGGCCGCGCACGTCTGGCCCCCCCCGGGCGCACGGCATTGCCCCTGCCGATGTGAAGCTTGGAGTCGTGGTGCCCCAGCAGCAGCGGCGGCAGCGGCAGCGGCAGCAGCGGGCGCGAGCGTTCGCTCCCCGAGCCGCGCCCCGCCCCCGCGGCCCCCGCGGCGGCCAGGGCGTGCGCCTCTGCGTCCGGAACCTCGGGGAGGCCGCGGTCCAGGGGGGGGGGGCCCTCGGCCTCCTCTCCCTGGCCCTCCTGCTCCTCCCTCCGCTCCTCCCTCCTGCTCCTCCCTCCGCGCCCCCCCCGCCCTCTCCATGCCTCCATGCCTCCTCCCGCCTCCCCTCCTTCCTCCTGCCTCCCTCCTCCCTCTTTCCTTGCTCCCTCTTTCCTCCCTCCTCCCTCCTCCCGCCTTCTCCTCCCTCCTCCTCCTCCTCCTCCTCCTCCCTCCCTCCAACCTGCTACCTCCTCCAGCCCTCTCCATCTCTCTTGCTCCAACTCTTCTTCCTCCTCCTCCTCCTCCTCCTCCTCCTCCTCCTCCTCCTCCTCCTCCTCCTCCATTCTTTTTTAGAAATAGCTTCTCCCCGTCGCACCCCCGAGGCCAGTTTTTAGGGCGGGCGGGGCGTTTCGCCTGAGACCTCCTCACCATTCATGATTATGATGCTTTAGCGCCGCGCACACTCGTTCTAAACAATTGCAGGAGGTTCACGGATTGAGAGCGGTTCCTTTTCAAAATGTTGTTCTCGCTTTAGCGCCGCGCAGATTCGTTCATAACATCTGCAATATGTTCACGGATTCCTGCGATCAACGTACCAGAAATGGCATTCTGGAAAGATTCCGGATTTTGCGGGCGCAACAGTTACGTTGATTTGCGGCGTTAAATTCCCAAGAGTGGCGTTCTGGCACGATCCAGGATCGTCAAGACACAACAGTGAGGCCGATCCGTGGCGTTGGAATCCCGAGAACAATGTTTTGGCAGGTCTTCAAACGGTTGTCTTCTAACGAGGCAGATCCCTCAATGGAAATGAACCGCTGTAGGGGCCTATGAAGAGGGAGCTTGGAGAGAGGGTGTATTCCACCATCGTTGGTGGCTCTTGGGTTTACAATGGTCCTCCTCCTCCCGGGCTGATGCCAATCTGGTGGCCAATGTGCTGCCACTGCTTCCTCTCCCCACTTTCAAGCGACGTAAGACGCCGAGCACCACCCATGAGGCGTCGTGGCATGTGTGGTTCCTGGCAAGATGAGGTGTGCTCAGTGTCTTCGGTTGGCCAAGTCTGGTCCAGACCTGGCTTCGAGTCAGCTGTGTGGCAGCAAGAGTGTCCACCGTCAAAGCCTGCAGGCCGCGTGGACGAAGCGCTCGCGCCCGCGAATATATTGCGTGCAGTGTGGTGCTTTCGCGGAAGAAAGCATAGGACCTTTACTGGTCAAGCGATGTGAGCGCGCCATCTCGACCAGGAGGGCCTATCGGTTTCGGCGGCTCCAGCCCGGGAAGCACCCGCAGCACAGCAGGTGCCATGAAAAAGTGGCCCTTGCGTCGGAGGCGGACCTGCGCTTGATAAAAGGGGGCCATGGGGTGTGTGGGAGGGGGGGAGGGGGAGGGGGGGGGAGGGGGAGGGGAGGGAGGAGGAGAACGAGGACGAGGACGAGGACGAGGACGAGGAGAGGAGGATGAGGAGGAGGAGGAGGAGGAGGAGGAGGAGGGGAGAGGGAGGAGGGGGGAGGAGGAGGAGGAGAGGGGGAGGAGGAGGAGGAGGAGGAGGAGGAGGAGGAGGAGGAGGAGGAGGAGGAGGAGGAGGAGGAGGAGGAGGAGGGGGAGGAGTTGGGGGGTGGGACCTCCTCACGCAGTGCCTCCGCAGGGTTCATAAAGCACCACTGGGATGGACGCCCTCCGGGCCCGCCTGCAGGCTCGCGGAGCCCAGGCTGCCGAGGGGTGTCGATAGCCTCTGTCATGGCCTGGGCGTGTGGCCTAATTAATTCTAGTCGGTACTGTTTGTCCTCCTCCTCCTCGACGCAGACCGAAGGGCGAACACGAGTGTCCGCCGCCGAGGCACGGGCGTGTGGTGCCAACACCACCGACGCCACGGCCGAACCGAAGCCGGACAGCGTGGCTAGGGGCGCACCTTGCAACCGCCACTAGCCACGCGTTGCGGACAACGAAAAACAGAACGAGTTAGCCTCTCAGGTGTCTCCTAGCGGAGGACGAAGAGGCTCCGAGGCCCGCGCGAACCAGCAGGCCCGTCCTGAGGGGCTGGGTGAGAAACCACCACTTCTTGTTGATGGAGAAGCGCGCGGGCTCGCGTGCGAGGTTCGCAAGCACGCGAGCTCCCCACGAGGCAGGAGGTGGCGGACCAGGGCAAGCGGCCGATAGGTCAGCAGACATTTGAACACCCCCCTTCCCGCACACGCAGCACACAACACACCACACACGCTCGCCCTCTCCCCCGACTTGGAAAGGGTGCAAGACATGCTCCCGTCCTCCTGCAAGTGCTACGCGCACATGCGCGAGATCAGCCTGAGAGACGGCACGGGGCACGACTGGCGGTGGCGGCACAACAGCGACGCTCGGCACGTAGGGTTTCGTGCTGGCGCTGCTGCGCTGCTTGATAGGAACGTGCATACAATCTAAATCGCACATGCGAGGCCCGACCGAGGCAACCCACGTGGCCCACTGCATGAGAACATGGGCTTTGGCCTGGCGAGCCTCGCGAAG